TAAAATAAGTCAAGCATCGAAATCTGGAGGAGAATTGAAGTTTATCAATATAATTCAGTTTGCAATACTCCTCCGCGAGCCAAGCCTAAGAGGGCTAAGTCAATAAAAGAGATTACTCAACCATTTAGATCAGATTTGCTCTTTTAGTTTTAGTTTCAATGTCTTCCCAGTTCCAAGAAATTGCTTTTGCTCCCTCACCAAACCAATTATCTTTCATAGTGGAGACACAAAACACAAGGTTCAAGTGGCCATCATAGTGAACACGATTTCACCAGCTTTAATCCAAGCAATCCTGCAAGTAGAAGACATTGTTTAGGATGCCTGCCTTATTAGTTCCTGGGGACAAGATTTTGCCTTGACATACCTTTTTATTATTCGATTATATGTGTTTGAAAACAGGCTGCTAGAGATCTAATTGTTATAACAGGGGAAAACTTGCACCCTGTTTCATTTCTTAGGACAAATTTGTTTGTTAGTAAGAAATTTGTTGCGTGGCTAAGATGTATGCCCTAAACAAGCTAATAAAGATCCAAAGTTTCATAATATAGTGATGCACTGACCTGTTCCATTAGTTGCGCTAGAATTGTTTGGGCCGAAGAAGGGTGTTGTTGTGGCTAAGATTGCTCTCTGTTGGCTGCAGGTGACAGGCACCAATTTTTGTTACAAATTAATACATTTAATCTCAAGGCATGATCCTGAAACAATGAGTCCATGATTAGATATAGCGGTGCTTAATGCAACTATGTTTCTGTCATAGACTTTATGCCATAGGGATTTCCATAGCCGCAAGCTCCTCCTAATGCGTAGAGAAACAATTTGGATTTTAAGGATGAAACAAGAAATAAGATGGTGGAAACTTCACTGTTGATTTTTAGCACTTACAATTAACCATCATTTCCTCCTGGAGCATTAGTCCATCTATACCATTACCTGCTCAAATTGTTATTGATATGGTACCAGAAGATCCAAAAAAAACTCCTAAAAGACTCACATTTTCTGCAAAAGTGTGAATTAAAAAGTACATAATGTAACCATGAAAATTTGAATTGGATAAGGTAAGACACAGCTGTGGCATTTATGATATGTAGGAAAGAAAGCAGATTGATGGTGCAGGTATAACCATACTAAACTGGTCCCCAATGCCAAAAAATGTCAAAGGAAAATTTCTCCCTTTTCCCACAGAGAAAAGAATAATTTGCACTCGTCTTTCATTTTTTATAATCCTATGTTTTTCACCTTCACATTAAAGATCTAAGGAACAAAATCAATTTATATTTTTCCAGAAATTATGCTGCAAGCTGTCATACCTTGACAAAAAGTTCAGATGTAAATATCACCTCTTCTTTTGTACTTGAGTCTTGAATAGTTGAACTGCTTTTAGCTTGAATCAGATAAACAAAGAAACAGATAGAATAAAACAAAGAATTCAGTCAGATGCAGTGAGATACAAAACAGCAGACGCTAAATTTAAACAAGCTCTCCAAATTTAAATTTAACAATAAATAGAGAAGTAGTGCAAGCAGTTATAATTTATACCATTAAAAAGGAAAGAATATACCTCTATAAATTTGTAGCTTCATTCCAGATTTCACTCAAGTAAGCATGGGCTTTGGTGCTTAATCACAGCCAAATGCGAGTAGAGAGGTGCTTTATTTCGAGCAAGAATCACAATTTTTCTGTTCTTCTGAGGGGATTTGGGGAAGTAGGAGATTTTAGCAGGGAAAACTAATCTGAAGTTAAAGAGAGTGTTTTACGCTGGGAAGATAGAGTTCGGAACGGAGAGTTCGGAACGGAGAGAAAGCGAGAAGGCAACGTCTTTTTTTTTTTTTTAAGCCGAACAAGGAAGCAAAGAATTTATTTATTTATTTTTATGTTAAGTAAAAGCAAAGAATTTGAATAAAAGGGTTTTTAAATTATTCTTTTAAATTGCTAGGAAAAAAGTGTTTAAAGAGGTGATAAAAAAAATCTAATTCCAAAGTTAATTGTTGTGGTGTAATGTAAAAGAGACGACATAAAAATGAAATTATTGTCCATCTAATTATTCAAATGCTATTAAAAAAAAAAAAATTGCACTTGGGCTTAGAGGCACACTGACATTAGTTAGCTTGCTAGGTGCATTCTCCCCTCCTCTAAACAGGTTTCGAACCCACCCCAGGTCAAAATGTTCAAAAAAAAAATGCTATTAAAAAATTAAATTATGTTGTATAATTTAAATTATTAAAGAAAAAGAGTTAGCCTTCTAATGTTTGAAACTATTTCATATTTATTAATTTTAATTTTAATTTTATTGTGTAGTGCAATGTGAAATGTCAAAATCAAAAGCTATTCAACTATAAATTTACAATAGAGTAATTGAAAGGGCCTCACAAATCATGAGCCTAAAGCTAAACTGTTACTAGTAGCATAGTTATTGATTAAGAAACTTTCACATCAAATATAAATAAAGAAACATGTGATTTAAATTTTAAAAAAATATTTTATTTATTGTTAATTTGTTCGTACACCTAATTTTCTCAATACCAACACTAAACTTGTGGATAAGAGCCTTTTAAAAAAACAATTTATGTTTTTCTTTTTTTGAACATATTTGCAAAGGGCGGGTTTCGAACTCAGCCCGGGAAAGAGGGAATGCACCGAAGTGGCTATTGCCATTAAGTCACAAGAGCCAGGTGCAACAATTTATGTTTAATGGTAAGTTAAATAATAAAAAATAATTATTTTCTTCCCAAACTTCTCACCACTAATCTGAAAATTTAAACTTTAAATTTTCAATGTGGAAGTTAATGCTGCTGTTAAGTGTTAACACTAAAATCGCCCCTAGAAATATTGCCACTTGAGCTTTGGGCCGAAGCCAGTCGTCAATGAACCATAGGGCCATTTTCGAACTGGTATTAGTCCAGGCCACTAATTGGGTCCGGCTATCTTGCCCACCCCTGCCTCTTCTGCAGTTCGTGGTAAGGAGTTCTCAGAAGAAGTAGGAAGGGAACAGCCAATAACCGAATGCTAAGAGAAGTATCGAAATAATTTAGTAATA